CTCCAGGTCACCATAAACACACCTTGCTATTGGGTTTCCTCCTTTTCACCCTCTCCCCCCACCCCTTTCTCCCAGCCTTCCTCCCGGGGTCACAGGCAGTGTCCTGGCCCCTTTGGAGGAGGGGTGAGCGTTGTCATCACACCCACCCAACTCCTGAAGCTCATTCTCCGTGAACTGTGCTGTTGGGGGAGGGGCTCCAGCTGCCACTGTTACTACAACCAAGGCTCCACCCCCTTCCCCAACCTCATCCCTCCTCTGCACCCCTAGCCCAGCTCTGGCCTTGGCAGCTGGTCCTGTCTCCTCGGCTGGGCCCTACACATTCCCTCACTTAAGGAGTCAGGGACGTGATGGCAGAGTTGCTGACGGTGACGGGGGCAGCTGTGTCTTCTCTAACCCCCCCGTTCGAGCCTCTGCCTTCCGTATGGGGTTTGTAGCAGTGGGCTCTTCACTGGAAGTGTCTATGTGGTTCTCAACCTTCCTGATGCCACGACCCTTTAATACAGTTCCTCATGTTGTGGTGACCCCCAACCATAAAATTATGTTCGTTGCTACTTCATAACTGTAATTTTGCTACTGTTATGAATCGTAATGTAAATATCTGATATGCAGGATGTATTTTCATTATTCGCGACCCACAGGTTGAGCACCGCTGGCTAGAGCCCCAGGAGACCTCACTCCTGGGAGGTCTAAGAGCAGGTCACACCCGGTTGGGCGGCCCACCACTATCCTGCCCCAACTCCAGCCCAGCGTCCTCAATCCTGACTCACCGTTGTCCTTACGGGAGAATGGACCTCCATGCGGGTGGCACCTGCCCTGAATGGTGCCCGATGGGTGCTGGGCAGGAGCAGGATTCCTCAGGGGCACAAACTCTGCAGTGAAAGCAAAGGAAATCAAATGAGAGCTCAAGGCCATGGACAGGGCAATACTAAGTTACACTGCACTGACACCTCAGGGCATCAGAACCGCCTGCCGGGCTGGTTGAAACACCCTCCTCTGCGGTCCTGATTCATGAGGCCTGGGGACCTGCATTGCTACCAGTTCCCCCCTGGGTGCCGGTGCTGCTGGTGGGGTGCCCCACTTTGTGAACCAGAGGTGAGCCTCTCCCCCGGGCCTCCCCACGCTGGCAAAGACACGTGTCTCCCATTGTTTCTCTTCCTCTTCCACGCTTCCTGGTGAGCAGGGTGACGGGATAGGGGTGCCGCCTCAGTGGCCCTGCCTGACTGTGACCATGCCTGCCTCTTGCAGGGAAGAGAAGGAGCGGTGGATCCGGGCCAAGTACGAGCAGAAGCTCTTCCTGGCCCCGCTGCCCTGCACCGAGCTGTCCCTGGGCCAGCACCTGCTGCGGGCCACGGCCGACGAAGACCTGCGGGCGGTCATCCTGCTGCTGGCACACGGCTCCCGGGACGAGGTGAACGAGACCTGCGGGGAAGGCGACGGCCGCACGGCGCTGCACCTGGCCTGCCGGAAGGGGAACGTGGTCCTGGCGCAGCTCCTCATCTGGGTAGGTAGCCCGATTGCCCGGCCAGGGGCGGAGGCACTGTGGGCACCGCGGGTGCCAGCCTGGCTGTGGGCAGCAATAGCAGTCGGGAACCTGGGGCTCCGTGTGGAGGCTCCTGCCGTGAGGGCTCACCTGTGTGAGGCCTCCTGATAAAAGGCAGGAAGTCAGTGGATGTGCCGTCCTCCGGTGGGGACTCTTCGTTCACCTTTTTAGGGTACCCCTTTGGGTCCATCATGGTGAGTGGGGGTCTCTCGTCTTTGTCCACACACACACATAAAAAACACCAACAAAATACTCCCATTATTTTTTAGGAGGTAGGGATAGACAAGAAGGATAAAAACTGAATGGATTACAAACGTTGGGGTTTTTCATTCGCATAACACAAAAATAGTAGACCCTAAACTGTGAGATTTGATATGGTAGGAGTTTGTCAAAGTGCTTTGTCTAGGCTATTCTGATTAATTTTTATTGGGGAAATTATTTTTTTAATTCCCAACAAAACATTGGTCATGAAACTGGAATGGGGAGAGAATTAGATGCCCAGATATCAAAATCACTCAAATGTTCAGCTTCACTGTAACAGTTGTGTGTTAGTCAGTTCGGGCTGCTCTAACAAATACCACAGACTGGGGACTTCAACAACAGAAATTTATTTTCTCACAGTCGCCAAAGCCAAAAGTCCCAGATCAAGGTGAGGGCCAGGTCGCAGATGCCTTCCCTCCCTGTGTCTTCACGGGGCCTTGCCTGTGTGTGAGTGCATCCCTGGTGTCTCCTCCTCTTCTTAGGACACTATTCCTATTGGATTAGGGCCCCACCCATATGAACTTCATTACCTCTCTGAAGGCCCTGTCTCCAAAGACAGCGGCACCTTGGTTCTCGAACTTAATTCATTCCAGAAGGCTGTTGGAGAAGTGATTTGTTCGGAAACCAAGTCATTTTTTCCCATTAAAAATAATATAAATTGAATTAATCTGTTCCAGACCCCCAAATGATTGATTCCCTGTTTTAACCTTTCTTATATACAGTACATGTCTCACGTACTGTTTAACCTATAAACACATACTTTTCTTAAATTTATCAAGCCACCCCTCCTAGCCTCAAAGGAATCACTTTCAGCACTTGGTCCAGGGGTGTCTTTCAGATCAGCATGCAGTCTTTGCTTGTTCAAATATCACTGCCTCCAAAATGCGTCACTATTGGCGTTGGTGGCATAGTGGTGAGCATAGCTGCCTTCCAAAATGTGTCACTGGCTCACTGCTCTTCCTTTATCCAATCAACAACAGTTTTTCACTTGCCTGTGATCATTGTTTCTTTCACACCCTTAGCAACATTAGCAGTCTTGATGGCCTCTTCATGTTTTAAACTTGTGCTAATTGTTGATTTGCAAGCAACAAAGGCAGTCTCTCCTTCGTTGCCTGAGAAACGCCTTTTGTCATGCTGAGGAATCAGCATAAAAGGGTTGTCAGGTCAAAAACTGAAGTTTGGTTGACAACCGAGACATTTTTTTCTGTGAACAACTTGGTCAGGAACCGAATTGTTCAAGATGGGAGACTTTTGAGAAGCAAGGTTTGACTGTATAGTCACGTTCTGAAGTGCTGGGGTTAGGACTCCACCCTATGGACTTGCGCTGGGGACGAGGGGAACAGAGTTTCATAACGAATTGCATACCATCTTTCCCTCCCAAAGTCCTTTTAATTGCATCGCTCCATGCTGGCAAGATTCCTAAATATTGTTGGGAGTGGAAGTCAGTCCACCCTTTTTATTTTTTATTTATTTTATTTTATTTTTTTTAAATATATTCCATTGATTTTTCACAGAGTGGAAGGGAGAGAGATAGAGAGTCAGAAACATCGATGAGAGAGAAACATCGATCAGCTGCCTCCTGCACATCCCCCACTGGGGAAGCGCCCGCAACCCAGGCACACGCCCTTGACCGGAACCGAACCTGGGACCCTTCAGTCCGCAGGCCGACGCTCTATCCACTGAGCCAAACCGGCTTCGGCTATAAACAACCCAGGTACATGCCCTTCGACCGGAATGAACCCGGGACCTTCCAGTCCGCAGGCCGACGCTCCATCCGCCGAGCCAAACCGGCTTTGGCACAGTCCACCCTTTTTAAAAAATATATAGATTTTTTATTGATTTGATTTGATTATTTTTCTCTTTTAGAGAGAAGCATCAATCAGTTACCTCCCATATCAATGCTTCGCTCTCACATCCATGTTTCAAACAGGCAATTTTTGGTGCATAGGACTACGCTCTGAACAGCTGCGCCACCTGGCCAGCGTCGGTCCACCCATTTCCTTTCTTTCTTTATTGATTGATTTTAGAGAAAGGAAGCAAGAGAGAGAAAAACATCGATTCATTGTTCCACCTATTCATGCACTCGTTGGTTGCTCCTTGTATGTGCCTGACCGGGGGTTGAATCTGCAACCTTGGCCTGTCAGGGCAATGCTCTAACCACTGAGCATCGTGGCCAGGGCCGCCATCCTTTTCAAGAGCAAGAACCCTAGTGTCTCCCTGTCTTCTCAGCATCTAGTAATCAGAGACCCTGAGAAACATCCGTGTGAGGGCGCACATCACAGCACAATGTGTGCCAATGACAGTGTGACACAGAGCGCATGGCAGCCCAGGGCAGAGCCCGCGCTAGTTCACGCGGAGGAGTACCGGGCGGCTACAACCTGTCATGCTTTTGCATAATTGTTAATGATGTGAGAAGATGATCCCAGTACAGTGTTCAGTAAAGGGGAAAAAAAGATACGCATTACTTGTGTAAGTTTTACCGCAATTACACATTTAGACCCAAAGGAAAACCATTTGAAGGAAATACGCGGAACTCTTAACCAAGATTATCCGTGGATAGGTTATAGGCGATTTTTTCTTAGCTTTTACGTATTAACTGTGTGTGACCCACAGTGAAAACAAATTGCCTCTGAGATTTTAGAATGATCGTTTTTTTGTGTTTACAATTGCAAGGTCAAAACAGACATAGCAAAACTAGAGTCATCCGTGGTCCATTTCAGTTGCACAGAGGAGGGGCTTTGAGTTGCAAAAGCACATTCTTGCCTGGAAGCATGCACCTCGGAGCCAGGTTGTCCTCCAACACCGGGCAGGCGGTCGCCGTCCTCGGCTGCCCTGGCCTCCTCCCCCGGGACACTAACATGGCTCTGTTGCCTCCGCAGTACGGGGTGGACGTCATGGCCCGCGACGCACACGGGAACACGGCGCTGGCCTATGCCCGGCAGGCCTCCAGCCAGGAGTGCATCGAGGTCCTGCTGCAGTACGGCTGCCCCGACGAGCGCTTCGTGCTCATGGCCACCCCCAACCTGTCCCGGAAGAGCAATAACCGGAACAGCGGCAGCGGGCGGGTGCCCACCATCATCTGA